CCTATTACGATTTTTTTTAGTTTGTATAGTTTATGATTTTTTTTTTTTCTGTTCTCTTTCCCTTTTATTATTATTCAGTTTTTTTCTTTACATTTTTTAAGATTTTGTTATATTTATTACATAAATATAAAAGAATGAGAAGACAAATAAACTTGAGCTTTCGCAATTATTATGCAAAAATATTATCAAAATAATAAATATTTTTAAAAATAAAATAAATTTTCTTAATTGCTTATCCTGACAGTAACATTTTCTCTTTTAAAGGCTTAGTGAACGGGACAGCATTGGGTTTGGTCAATATTCACCAACGATTCATTAAATGGGGTTTACCAAGAAATTCCAGCACCATTAGTCCAATTAATTGCACCGAACTAGTTTTCACATGCAATTGTTTCAGCTGCCAAACATAGCAAAGGAACTTCATCATATATACAAGATATGTTCCCGTGAATAACAAATTAATAATAAAGCCTATCCCATCCATCATAAGCTCACAAATTATCTGGCCTATAATTGTTCATCAGTTCCACAATGCCTTCATTACGCAATAATCTTTCTTACCGGAGACTGAGAAATGAAGAAGAAATACTTGCAGAAGAATTCAAGAAAGCAAAGGCGTGGCTTAAGCTTAGGACACTAACGGGTAGGAGAAGGCCAAGGATTCGTGTTGCAGGCTTGAGAAGATTCCTTAGAAAAAGAACAAAGTTTCTTTCTAGATTCAGAGTCCCATGGCGCAAAGCTTTGAAGAAGTTGAAGAATGGGCAGAGCCATATGAATGATCTCTTTGGGGGCAATTTTCTTTTAATGCATGGCACTCACAAACCTTTCGGATGCGGTGAGAAGCTTCATACGGGTCATCATGCCCTTAAAGGATTATCAACAACGTATTCTATTGCAAGGATATCATAAGAGAAATTAGCTTTCATGCTGTCCACATATATGATAATCCTACTATTGTGTAAAATATTTTATCTTTGTTTCTCAGATATATGTTAATATAACTTAGCAACTACATATTTCATCCTTTTGTCATATTTTTTTTTGTGTCCTTAATTTCTATACATGGGACAATAATAGCGAAAATAACTCACTTTAACTTTTTAAAATTCTGATAATAACTTTCTAATATAATTAATACAACTTTTTTTTATAATATTTGTAGAAGTTCTCTTTGAACAGTTTTTCTTCATAATTGAGCAAACTATACAGTAAAACTGTAGTCATTTAATTATAAAGTATGGTTTTTTTAGAAGAAAAGATAAAATGTTTTCATTAGAAAATCATATGGTATTGTTTCATGATGGAGGGTGGGATTGTAAAGTCGAATGATTATGTCAATATTTTAACATTCTTTTATTTTTCAATTTTACTTTAAGCTCTTCTTACTTCTCTCTTTTAACTAGCTATAGAAACTTCATTTGTTAATGTTATAAGACTATAAAAATCATTATAAATTTGTTATTGCTGGTCCACTTTTAATTTTTTAAATGAATTTATCTTTTTTGGTAAGAAAAATTTATTTTTAAAAATAACTTTAAACCCTGATTAATTCAATATTAAGTCAGATAAATAATTTAAGGAGCTACATTATTTTAACGCTTGTTTTTTCATTCATAACAATTGAACCCAATCATGGTAAGGAGAATGGAGTTCCTTAGTGCTCAAATTAATAGATATTTTGTGGCCATTAAATGAGTTCATTAGTTTGACTATTAAAGTTAAAAAATTGAAAATGAAATGATCGTAACGCGCGTATATATTTTTATGGTGAGAATTATGATACAAATAGATAATGTCGCATGCAAGGGACTAGTTTGTAGCTTGGCCGCCTTTTTTTTATCAATTGTTTTAGATTTTGACATAGGTATTATTAAAAATGTCAATTTTTTAGTGACAGATAAAGGGTATTATTGTATGGCCTATGTTAAGTGACTAACTAATAATAAATGTTGAATATCACTGTTGATTTTATCTATGGTTTAATCAATTAATAGTAAGTGACTTTGAAATTTTAGATTTTAGAATAACTTGATAGGGGGAAAGTAAGCAGCTCATTAAGACTTAGCTTGGTCCGTTTAGTCAAATTATCAGGCCCAAACTTATAAAAAATATCTATTTAATTATATAAGTCAAACTCAAACTTATAGAAAAGCTTATAAAGCATTGACGAGTTTATTTATATAATTTTATATTTATAATTTATAATTAATATTATTTTTATCATTAAAGTAAATTACATGAATATGTAACATAAATTCATTAGTAATTAATAAAATTTATTAATTCATACACTTATTATTAGGCTTTTTAAAGATAGACCTATTAATATATAAATTTATTATTAACTTCATAGAATAGACTTGTAGTCTATTTAAAAAGCCTACATGCATAACAGACTGTTAAACATGTCAATAGGTAAGGTTAGATTCAAAAATTGGTCTATAATAAGTCATAGTTCAAGCTTAAGCCGCAAAAATATTCTAAAGACTAAAATTGATAGCGCAGCAGAAGCATTAGGAGTCAACTGGAATACAGTTTGCTCCAGAAATGAGCTTCTTAATTATCACTAATGTCTGAGTCTGATTCGCTGGGTAAAGGCTATCAAGGAAAATGGTAATTTAAATAACTTTGCAGGTATCCTTATACATTATTGTAAAAAAAATAAGTAAATTTTTCCATGCATTATATCATCCAGAACAGTATTTGATTGAGGATTAACCCTCGTGTATTGGTGCAGCTATAGCTTTGAATATTTGTACAGGCATTTAATATAATTTTTTTTACTTTAAAAAACAACGATGAATAATAAATATATAACCCATAAGTACTGATGGAGCTGTGGTCAAAAGTTCAAAACTCCCCTTTGGGATTTTTTATTTGTTTTATGACGAATCACGAGAGTAGATTCGTACTTGAACCAATTTAAACCATCCATATCACTGTTCAACTAGTTTTCAAAAGGTTTACCGATTCAATCTTAAACAATAATTTAATAAACATGACGGTCTGGCTCGGGGTTTGGTTCCTCTTGGTTGTTGATTCTAATAATCTCCGTTGTCAACATCATTATTATTAACTCTCTTTTTTTCGATTTGATTAAGTATTATATTGTATTGTAAGTTATATTATTTAAATACTTTAATACTTATCTCGTTAAATTATGTTTAGTATTTTTTTATATATTTTATTTTTTTTAAATATTAATTTATTTAGTATAAAAATTATTCTCTTTTCTTTTCTTTTTCTTTTTGATAACTTTCCTTCTCAAACAACCCTTTAGAGTTTATAAAGTTGAAGTTATATATTTGTGACTAAGGTTTAGTTATATATATACTCTTTTTAAAATTTGGAGAAACTATTTGTACATCATATTTGTATATTTGTATAATAAAAAATGAAATAAAAAAGAAGAGAAAATAAGATGGAGGTTGTGAAAAAGATCAACAAAAGAATATTTCTAAAAAGATATTGTATAAATGTATTATATGGACGATATAATTCTAAAATTGTTAACCTCAAAACCTTCTATAATAACTCTGAACATTGATTTTCAAAATATTTTTTGTTACATTATTTCTTTCCTGCAGAGCATCTAGGATTTTTAGTTTGGCCAAGAGAAATAGCATTCTTAATTATCTTTATAAACTTTTGTGAAAGTATAGTTCCGTATCCCCCCACCTTCCTTGAAACAACTGGTACTCACTTTTTTGTCCTATTAGTGTCTCTTCTTAGTCTCATCTTTTCGGGGCTGGAAAAAGGTCGCCTAAGCCTTGCATTTCTTTCAACTTTTTCAACTATCGCCTTTGCGTACGCAATCCTTTCTTAGTACAAACGATTCTAGTGAAAATGATCCATCTCTTGTGCTCTTCTAGTTTTAAATTCATAAACTGCCTCTTGAAATCCACTATCGTTTATGACATGCAAAAGATAAAGATTGCTAATATGACGATCTGATCCTTTCCTAGTGAAATGATCCCATGATCTGTTATGATGAAATCATTTTGAGATAAGAGGAGTTTATCTTCACCCTAAGCTTAATTTGAGTCCTACAACAAGTTTTAGATTCAAACATAAACTAATATGACAGGTCGTGATTATTAACAAATTTCACCTACATGCATATGTATATGCATAAATTGATATTCACGTGTATACGTATGCATACGTCTCCTCTCTCGAATGCACTCCATTTGTGAGTCGGTTAAACTTGGATCAAGGCGGATACGTAAGGAAGATAGAATTGGACTCAAAACCGATTCCCAATAATATGCATCAGCAATATCACGTTGAAAATAATATTTTTATACTTCATTTTTTATATTTAATTTTAACTCATTTTCTATTTGTTCTTTCTTGTTATATTATATATCTTGTTAATACCTAAATCACATCCTTGATTGAGTGTTAAAATATCACTTCTCATTTAAAAGAACAGCTGAGCAATCAACCAGAATAGCTGAAAAGGGAGTTAATTTCAATATTTTCAATTAATTTTTTAAATTTAATAGATTTATTAATTAATCTCTGATATATTATTTTTCATTTCATTAGAAGCGTAATATTCTATCATCGTCTGTCAACTCATTCTATATTTAGATTTAGTTATATTGTTTTAAATTTTTTTTTAAATCATAAATATTTTTTACTAGAAACAACTCTGTTTGAGTTAAGACTAAATATATATATTTATTGAGATGTAAATTAGAGACTATCACGTATTCAGTGGTAAATAAATCATCATCTAAGTAAAACTATTATATTAGTACAAATTTGAAAATTAATTTTTAAAATAATCAATTTAAAAGATATATTTGTTATATATTTAACTAATTGATAGAATAATTTGTTTCTTTTTATCTTTTATTCTTATAAAATTTTCTGATCATTAAATAAAAATATTAAATATTTGTTTACTTTTAAAATAATAAGTGTGCTTGTATATTCATTAATTTATCTATCTAAGTGAGAAAGTCAGAGTACCCGCCGGCAGAAAGGGGTAAACTATAACGGGGGATTTGATCATAATAATATAATGATTTTATCAGTTTTGTAATTATTGATCACTCTCACCTTATGTATCTGCAAGCCCAAGAAACAAAGGCATGCAGTAGAATGTTGATGAGATGTGCAATCATGCATCTGCAAAGAAGTGATACTTTCTGATGTTGTCGATTATCAACCGAACTGCTGAAATTGTGGTTGCTATTGTGAGCAGAGAAGAAAATACGATGTTGAACCAATGCCACGCCTTCTTCTCTTTTCTAGCGGTCCTTCCCTTAACCTATAATTGAAGCAAAACCACTAACAAATTACTCATATATAATTATATATATTCACAAGTGAATTCTGACTAACTGTAATTCGGTTCGTTAATAAAAGCTTCGTTTTGTAATAATAAAAATCCAGTAAATGACCTTGATGAAGACCATGCTTGGGAAAGTGAAGGTCAGAGGAACGAGTGAAAAAGAGCCTAGAAAGTTTACAAAGTCACCCATAAAAGGGAATGCTGCAGCCACGAATGTGTTCCCTGTGAAGAAAAGCGCGCGTAGCAGAAATAAGCGTTTCAAGTTCTCCCCTGAATGCATGGTCTTGTCAAGTTCTAGGAATTTAGTGTCCAACGCCTCATGAATTGGGGCCACAAACAACTGCATTTTTTCAATTGACACCCTTCAATTTGTTAGATTTTTTTTTCTTTTTCTTGTCATACACAAATTCAATTAACCATCCAAAAAAAATACACATGCTCTTTTGTTGAATTAATAGTAAACTTCATGTGAACAAAAATTCAAATTCTACAATATCTTACATGTTGAGAGACTATGGACTGCAGAAAGACGACGGCATTAACGAGGACGTTAATCCATTTGGGACCGCTTAAGTTTTCGGGAAGGTATGCAGATGCCATTGACCCATAAGCCCAATATCCCATAATGGTAACACTATAATAGAACATAACTCCCACGGTATATTGTGAATACAGTGCCTTCCTCATGTTCTCCACTGCTGGCTTACGTAGAGTGGACTGCATTCATATTACCAATTAAGGAAACTAAAATAAAAATATGTATTAGATAAGAAACATACAAATGATTTAATATATACTTGTTTAAGTAATTAAAAGTATTTAGGAGGATACATTTAATTTTCTTTAACCTATGCACTTGTTACAACATACCATAAGAACACATGCAATTTTGAGGTTTAATTAATCTGTCCATGTAAAAATAAAAATATGACCTGTATCTCGGGGAGCAAGCCACTGGTGTTGCTAACAATTATCGCAGAAATGGCACCAAAAGCATTGAACACCTTGCTCACTTCGCTTCCGCTAATGTTGTAATCCCTATGAGAATTCGATTTCCCTTCCATCCAAAAATGGGTGGAGCAGGCATAATTTAATGCTAGTGCTAAACTTTATATGGTTTGGCAGGAAAGGACAAGTGGAAGAGGATAATATTAATAATATATTTTAAGTTAAAAATAGAATGCTTTATTACCATCTTTGACTAAAACAATCAGCAGAAATATTATATACGTGAAAGTGACCACCGCAGAAGCTCCCAACCAATTTTTCATCGCTGATATTGTTGGAATGAAGAAGGAAAAAACAAAGTAAGCAGCTCCAGTTATGACTATGTAATATTGGAGCCTCAAGGGTGAATCGTTAAATTCTGAATTAATTTCCTGCAAAAAGAAACCATTATTTTATGAAATACCATACTAATCAAATTTAAAAACTTTGTTAATCGTCAAAAGTACTTGAACTAAATTACCTTGAGTGCCTTGCCTCCGAGGAGAATGAAACCCATATTTCCAAGAAGGAGGGTCAAAAACTGGAAAATCCATGTGATGTGATACATATTCTTACCTTGAGAAATTAAGGAATAATAATTCAATTAATAAAGTTGATAAGAAATTCTAAAAGTGTGTTACTTAAAAGGGTAGTACTAAATTACTAATATATGCACATTAAATTAAAAATTCACCGTAAACATATCCCATGAGATCTCTGTATCGAATGAATCTTCGGTCATCGATGAACTGAAATGCTGCCAAGAGCCAGTTGGCATAGGCGGTGTAGAATCCCACAACAAGAAGGCATATAATACCCCAAGTCCAACCCAGTGGTAACATCACCAGGTTTGAAAAACTTAATATCCACCCGCAATTGAAGCTTGTCACCAACATCAACCCCACTTGTTGCCACGAATCTACAAATTGTAATCAATTATGTCATGACAAGGATAATCTCAGTTCTCAAGGAAATAATACAATAAAAGTAAATAATTCATGTCTTTGTTTATATATTTCAGCTGAAATCATATGTAAGAGACGACTAGACTGTTTTATAAACTTGAACAAAATTATGAACCCAAATAAAAAAAAAAATAGCATAAACAGAATTAACCAGATAATTAATAGATTTAGTGTTACCGCGATCAATAGTATGAGCAGAAGCTAGGCCAAAATCATCGTTTTGGGTACCCTTTTGTGGAACTTGTTCAAGGTTCAGAGTGTGAGACTTGCCGTTGCTTGATATTCCCTCATCCATGGCGATTGGTGAATCCTAGGTATGTGGAAAAGGACAATCTTGGGCTCCTCAAACAGCTAAAGGTGGTAGCAAAATTATGAAGAAGTTGAAGTCTGACTCAACTGATGACCAGCTTTCAAAAGAAAGGAAATGACTTTCATAGGTTACAATAATGCGTTTTGCAAAGAAATTTTAAACACTTTTGTCTTTTATCCAATATATATATATATAACCACTTTAGCATGTGGTTGTTAGTGTTAATTTTTAATTAAAGATGAAGTTTATGTGTATTAATTTTTAATGTTAATATGCTTACTTTTGATATCTACTTTCATATAAATTATTAAAATAAAATTTAATTTTAATTAAAAATAATAAACCAATAAACATGAAGTTTAATTTCGTGTAAATTTTAAATTCAATTTAAGTAAAAGTAACTTTTTACATAAAAATTTTTAAAAATCAATAATGTAGATATCTTTTGAAAAATAAGAATAAGCGTTAAATAACAGTAAAGTCATATCTTAGAATAGAAAGAGAAAAAGAATTTAATAAAAAAAATCGTCTCCAAAAGTATATTTGAAATTTTATGATAGCGATCGATGATTTTTCAATGAGAAGTTGAAACCTTACGTTGCTGTAATAGCTCACAATAGTCAAAGTTATTTAATAATATATATGTAAAATAATATTTTATAATAAAAATTGTTTCATATTTTTTTAATTTCTGAAAAAATATAAATTTTATGCTAAATAATTCAAATTAATTTATAACTAATAAAAATTCAAATATGCAAAAAATATCGATTGACATTTATAAATTCATAACATCAAATGTTATTATTACCTGATTTGTAATTTTATTATTTAGTTTTAGGATACCTTTTTAAAAAGATGCGATTAAAACAGTATTAAACATATAAACGACACAACGGATAATGTGGGGTGCTGTTAACGATCAAGAGACAGGGAATTAAACGATCATGTCAGACAGGTCTTAGGTCACGTGCCAAAAGAAAAACCACACAAATGTTAACATTACAAAAGAAAAATGTTTATCAACAAATGAAAAATATTATATATTAAAATAAATTTGGTTAATATAACTGCTATCAAATAAGAATTAAATGTAATAGGAAAAAAAATAAAAAATAAGAATTAAATGTTAGAAAAATTTTAAAAATTTATACTGACAAATAATGTAATATAATATTAATAACATATCTTAATTTTTATATTGATAATCTTATTTTAGTTAAAATTTATATTTTAATAAAATTTAATTTAATATTACATATTTAGTAAATAATATTTTTTATATAAAATATTAATAAAAATAAAGTAAAATATATTTAAAAATATTATTAATATATTTTATTAAAATTTAAGTATACTCTCTTGATTTTTTAGAGAATCATTCATAATAAAGAGTGCAATTGATATTTATTTGTATTAAAATTGTTTTTAATTTTTTGACAAAGCTTTCATTATTAATTTTTATTAATGATAAGTTAATAAAATATTTAAGGATTAGATAAAATAAGTAGGTGAAAAATTAATAGATAATTAAAAGCCATTTTTCATTTTAAATTTGATTGATAAAAAAATGTATTATTATTTTCTTTAATATTTTTGGAACAATAGATAACAAAATCCTAATATTTTATTTGTTTGAATGAAAAAATGAATTAAGTTGATAATAGTCGAATAAAATTATTATAGATGATAAAAAAAATTTAAAAAGTTTTACATAATTATATTCACTCAATAAATAATAAGTTACAAATATTAAAACAAATATAAGTATGACATAATAATAATATAAAATTTACCAGCACAATTGTTTTTGTGCGATACACGAATTTTTTAATTACGCCTTGTTTAAACGAAAAAATAAAATAAAAAACAGAATAGAAATATAATAAAAATATTTTTTATTTAGATTAATAAAAATAAAAAATTATTTTTCCTGTTTAGATAAATAATAAAATTAAATAATAAGTTTATTATATAAAAATATAACAATTAAAATATAATAAAATAATTTTGATATAGTATTTTTATTTGTAATTCTATTAATGAACTTTTACAGTTTATATTATTTAAAAATTACCCAGCACTAAAATAAGAATAATAATCCTTTTACAAGTAAGGGAAAGTTAAAAGTTTTTGTGACCCTCTTTTTATTTTCTTATACTAAAATACAAAATATTTAAATAACTAAAACTTCAATCTCTATACAAAATTATTTTTTCCCCTCTTAACATCACTTCATCGAAACGAAACATGGACTTCGAGTTAGTTTATATTAAAAAAATTATAATCACGTGAAGTTATTAAATGATGAGTTTGAATTGCTTATTTAAGGAATAATTTATATGACTAACACTTCCACGTAAAAGAAAAATAAACTAATTATTTCATCTTCTAATTTTTTTATTTTAAGTTTTTTATTAATTTAGTTTTATAACTTTTTTCTTTTAGTCCTTCTATTGTCATCTCATTAAAAATAACAGATTTTCATACTTTACATAAAAATTGGATGTCTAATTTTTTTTTTAGTGATTTTTATTTTAAACGGTTTTTTTCTGAAGTAAAAAACCATTAGCTTAAATCAATAAGTGAGTACCAAGTGTATAAAATAAATATTGTATAGAAATCACTTAAAGGATCAATAATTTTAGCTTAACTAAAATTTAGTTTGCTTAAGTAAAAAAAATCACTTCAACAAATCATAATTATATGAACTGAAAAATTAGATAAAGTACATAATTTCACACATTTGAAGTCATTTAAGTGAAACACATGACTTAAGTAGATCTCACTTTACTTAAACAAGAACAAGTTAACGTTAGAAAAAATATAATAAAGACTAATATTTATTAATTTATGTAAAATAACTTGAGCAAATGTATAATTGTTTAACCAAAATTGGTACACTTTTGCTTAAGCGAATAACGCATAAAAAAAGTAAATAATAATATAATATTTGTTGACTAATTTTACCAAACAAGTAAAATAAATTAAAAGAAAATAAGCATTTAAAAAGTCAAATATTTATATTATATATTTAAATTGTGTAATTAAGATCCAACCTTAGAAATCATCAAAATAAAATACAATGTGAAACAACAACAAACTTAAACTAAAATTTATAATAAAGTAAGAAAAAATAAAACAAAAAAGTTTTATGCATCTTTATTCACATCATCATAGATAAGTTGAATCCTCTTTTACGTGACCTCCTCTCCTATCATCACTTTTATGACCAGTCTTTGCCTTTTTTTCTTCATGCTGTGCATTATTTCGATGTAAGTTATGAGAATATTGAGGTGTCTTCTCCATGCTCGTGTAAGGTAAAACAGTAGAATAATTTATTTTTAGTTTGTGTATGCTCGATAATTTGCTGTTTAGTATTGTATAAACGTATAAGTCTAATGACTAATCTCCATGTGTTGTTGTATTTGAATCAGATATTTTGTGACGTGACATTTCACAGGTGTGGTGCAAGAAACAAATGATAATGCTGATGAAGAATAATCAAAAGATATGAATAACTACTTTAATGAATTAGTGTAATAATTATTTATGAAGCGTTGATAAATTTTTTTAACTTGATGATTTTGATTTAGAATTGTTAGATATTTGAACAATTTGATAATTGATGGTTTATTTTATTTTAAGATTTAATTTATTTAATATAATATTATAAACATATTATTATTTATATACAAAAATTATTTTCTTTATTATTATAAAATTTTTGAAGTTTGAATAGATTAATCTATTAAAATGGATAGATTTTTTTTAAAGTTCAAGTTTAACTTATTTAAATAATAATTTTTAAAAAAATTATGTATTTAGCCTATTACTTAAAAAGAATAAGATCAAGTTATGTTTTAAACAATTTAAATTATAACTTTATTGAATAATTTGACTTACTTCCATTCTTATGAGTTATAATTACAAAAATTTTATTTTGCTTTATTATGTTATGTATTTAGTAGACTATACACGCGCGTGTCTATATATATATATATATAATTTTTAAAGATAATAATTTTTATTATTATTTCAAATTTTTACACTTTAAATATTGTAAATATTTGTTTGTTTTTATTATTTTTATAAAATTTTAGAAAATAAAAAAATGTGCAGTGAAAACAGAAGTTATGTATTTTTATATTTTTAAAATGATAAATACACACTTTATTCAAAACTCTTTTATTGAAAAAAAAAAAAAAAAACAAACAGTAGTTTCTTTCGGCATTTCGTACACGTTAAACTCTGGCAAGTAGGTTTGAAAAAGTTTATATTTACTGACAGTGTCAAGCTTTTGATAGTCTTACATATAATTTTTTAAAATAAAGTTATCTTAATCAGAATATTTTATAAGGCGCATGAAACCCAACGGTACCAACAACCTTCTTTAATTACTTAAGTATTCTTGATGGTATATTTTTTCATATAAAATTAAGTTGATAGGATAAATATCAATAGTTTATATTAAAAGAACGATACCGATGCTAGTAGACAATTATATTTATATTAATACCGTAATTTTATTAGAATGAAATAATATTAACAAAAGAAAATCATACGCGTACTAATAGACAGTAATATTAATGAACAAAATAAAATAAAACAAAACAAATAAAGTTATGTAAAGAATAATTGATTTGAAAAAAATGGTAATTTTTTTAAGGTTATTAGTGTGTGCGCTTAAAGTTCTTGAAAGCTTCAATGGAACGTATTTTAGCATAAACATTCTAACGTTTAAATTAGAAAAAATTAGGCCAAAGTTGAGACATAAGACCATGAGGTTGTGTATTTAGGTTAAGAAATTATTTTTTTTATATAAGTATTGATATATTTGTTGTTTAACACACTTGATAATATAACTGTTAATATACAAAAATATATCTTATGCATGTACACTTGAGTCATGACGTGTTTGATAAAGTTATTACTTATTAAAAATGTTAAAATATTCATGAGTATATATAATAATTAAGTCATCTTAGTTGGGGTTAAGATGAACTTAAATATGTGATTTCGCATTAGTTGTCCACATCTCAAGTTTGCCATGAAAAAGAAAAACAGAGATAAAGTAAGTGAAATAAGCTCGAGGCGCTCTTTGTGACAAAGTTGTTATAAGACTTAGCGCTCTTCATGCTAAGTTATTTGATGCTCAAGGTGTTATT